GAGTTAAAGGGGAATGAGTTAGACATCCTGAAGAGGCATGGCAAGTGGAAATAGAACCATCTACCTCGGTGGATGAAACAAAGGGTTCGGTTCGAAATTGCAATCACCTTAAGAAGGCCGGAGCGTACAATGGCCGAAACGCTGTGAATATGGCAATGAAGATGAGGATAAAAGTCCGAATGATGTAAATAATGCAATATTTATTACATCTACCGGCCTGTTTAATCGCAAAAACCTAATAATACAAAATACATCCTTACGTTCATCGGTGACCTGAACTTGGATGTGCGGGTGGTGTAATGCATAAAATCGGTAAATAAAACATCCGAGTTCCAATTCTAGTTGGTTTTGTTTTATTCACTTACACACAAATAATCTTTGGAAAGTTATCAATTCCCCCCAGCTATGGATTAATTAGTAAGAATTTTATCAGTAAACAAGTATTATATCCCATAATAATTCTTGCAATCTGAAAATATTTTCTGGCTTTAAATAACCTACAAAGGGGTGATAAACCGTAGAAAACGAAGCGATCAATCAATGAAAAGATGAATAGCTAAACAACCATGTCTTTTAGATTTATTTACAGTCTCTGGCATATAAATGTATAGAAACTTCTGTGGTTAGAAAGTGAGGGATCAGTTTATATATTGATTGTAATATAGAATAGATCCCCCACTTTGTCTCCCTATTATAATTTCTTCTTTGCTTATCAAATTATGATTATCTATGGATTTCACCTCTTCTCCTCCCAACTATGGGTTAATTATTAAGACTTGTATCAGTAAAACATTATTATCTACCAAAATAATTCTTGCAATGTAAAAATATTTGCTGGCTCTAAATAATCTGCAGAGAGTTGATAAGCCCTTGAAAACGAGTAACAATGTACCCCTCTTGTTTCACGTAGGGATTTCGTTTTTAAGTCTCTTTTCACTACTATTTGGACTGTCATAGCTGAGTTCCTTTAGTTGGATCTTTTCTAATTGATCTCATTATCACTAAGTTGAAATGATCCCTCTTCCTGATCCAGTTTTCCTCTCTACTGTTCCCTCTTTTTTAATCCTACGCTCTTAATGGTTCTTGAATGGACTTTGAAAATGGAAGCCAGGGTAGGAATGCTGGTACTGAAGGCCTGAATAATCTTTTTCCTCTCACTATTGCTCACTTGGGAAGACAATGGGGCTGACACAAAACGACTTTGTAGCTGATTTTTTTCAGTGATTCTTATGAAAAATGTTGTCAAGATGGCTAAACGTTTTCAAACTGAGAACTGGAAAAAGAAACAGTTCAGTTTATTTTTGAGAAACCATTCCACACCGTGTGGGAGTATGAAAGGGTCTGCCAGTCAATGATCCAACGACATTTTGAACATTTATTATGAACTGATGTGTTTTTATATGGACATTTTACGTTGTTTTGGTGTGAGGAACTCGGCCCCAAATTTTGTAAAAGTATTTTGATACACTATAAAAATAAAACTGCAACACCTATCAATTCGACATTTAATGTCCTTTGAAGTAATCTTATTGTGAAGACACAGCGTCGTTTCCATTGATGGAAGCATTCTGGAACTCTTTTTTACGAATAGCGAGCAGCTGCCGCATCGCATTCTCTTGGATTTCTTCGAAATCTTGTCCCTTTTTCGGAAGAAATAAAGTCGTCAGGATTAGAAAACTAAGAATATTGTTGTTATCTGATTTTGGTGATTTTGTACTTCGCCCAAAAATTCTACACAAGCCATGTTTACTGGTGAAACCTGTGAAGTGTGGCGAGATGACCACACTCTACACACTTTCCTTCCAAGCACTGCTAGAAACAATATAAACGAAGACGTTATAACCTAATGTTATCAAACCGACAGTGTTTGATTTGATTCATTAATGCATAATATATATCTTTCGATTATATTATGAGCGCGTTGCCGAGTCGTTAGAACGTTCGATATCTGACCATGAAATCCGGGTTCGAATCTCAACATGGTTGATTTGGAGACTTCCTGATTTTATCGGTCTGGGGGTGAAGGTGCGGCCCCTTTGGAAATTGCCTGAAAACCAAAACAACTCCTTGTGACTGAAATTGGGCAGATAAAAACACTTAGGACCGTCGATTTAAGAATAATATCGTGAACGAGGGTTTGAGCGTGTTTGTTCCGATTGTTGATCAAGATGGATAACACGCTTTCTACTGGTGGGCTCACTGCGTGTTGCAACCGCTGTAGAGATTGGTTAGCAGAATACTAGTTGCCAGCTATTATATATATATATATATATATATACGGGTTTAAAAAAAAAGGAAAACGTGGGATCATTTCTCGGTCTTCACTCAGAAATGGAAGCGACACAAGGGAATCAACGAAGAACAGACACAAGACGATGGATTTCAAAATAAATCATTTATTTATAAATATATATAAAGAAATAAAGAGAGAAAAAAAAGGAACATTCATTTAACAAAGGGCAAGGAGATCATTAAAGAATAGAAGGCGCGAGCGAATACATACATATATAAAAAACAGGTCAAACCAAGAGAATCAACTTATCTTTCAATCGAGTTGATATTTTCATATAAAGTTCTGATTCGCCGAAGCGAGAGTTATGATGCTAAACAATATTTTATTTTTTGGCAATTTTCCTGGATTTCTTTTATTTATACAATCGTTCGAGGTATACAGCAAATCGTACAGGCGTTTATGTTGGTTGATTCAGTTTCATAGCAGTCCTTTATATTATCTAGTCGACAGACTTTGCTGTCTAAATCCATCTCATTATATTTATACGATATTTGCCCAGCGACGTTCAATTGCCGCTGGTCAGAGGGAAAATGGAAAATCCTTTTTTTTTGATTTTTGCTGTCCCCAAAGAAGTCACGTGGGTTCCTTCGTCCTTGACTTTAAAATACGCAGGAAGATGTTCTTAAAAAATTTAACAGTGTTTGTGTGATGGCCAACAGTTCAATCCACGCTTAGTATGTTCTGATCATTGAATCGCAGCAGGAGATCTGAATAATGGTGCCTGGAATTCATTTTATGGTCAGCCGCCTGATAGCTGCGAAATCTTGGAACCAGGTTATTTTCGCGTCAGGTCTTTCAAAGTTCACGGGCATTTGATTTGTGGGTGGAAGAGTAGATAAAGAGGGAAAGAATTTGTGATTTGAAGAGGAGGGTATGGATGATCATAGAACATATTTGCTAGATATTATTGAAAGCATTGGATTAAATTTCTATTTTTATTTATTTCTTTATTTTTTTATATCTAACTTATTTTCGACTAGAATTTAAGATTTTACTTTGTGGTGATTTTTTAGCCTAACGTCTATGTGGTTAATGAAATCGGGATGACAATAAAAACGATATATATATATATATATATATATATATATATATATATATAGTCAAACCTAGTGAGCCAGACAAACCTACCCACGTTTCACCTAAGCTGATCGTCAGGGAAAGCTGGCTTTACTCATGTTGTTTTTTTTTTGGCTTTGAACCTGTATCTGTGCGATTTTTTCGACAGACTTTCATGTTTCTAGCTCTTTCTTTTTTTTTAAAACCTTTTTTTCCTTCATGATTGATTTGATTATTGGCAAATCAAACCAGAAAATTTTTCGAGATGAGTATAGTTACACACAAACACACACACACACACACACACAAACACATATACACACATATATATATATATATATGAAGAAATATAGTCTTAAGATGTGCTATACTGGAATGTGTTCAATATCAGACAATAACGTTAATATAAAATTTGAACATACACTGCCTTGGAAATTAAAGGCGATTTTATGTTTCATGCTAGAATGCAATCCGATTCATTTTAGCGTGAAACAGATGTCGCAGATAAAGTGCTAACTTTATGTTCACTTTTATATATATATCAGAAAAATAGAATATAAATCTATATGTGTGTGTGTTTGTTATTTATCCATTCCATATATATATATATATATATATATATATATATATATATATATATAAATCTAACAGACAGATTGTTTAAACTGTTCACTTTTTAAAGACAGATCATCAGTGTGGCTACACATGCCTACAATTTCAAGCCGCGATCGAAACCCGACCGGTTTAACCTTCATTGAAGACTCTTACCCTTAGGCAATCAGATCATGCCACGGAGGAAGAATTTTTTAAAATTTCCTTATATACGAGATATAAGTATTACCGGCTACCAGTAATATTACTTAATTCATAGCGAAAATCCCTTTTTAGCGTTAATATATATATATATATATGTATATACGGTATATATATATATATGTGTGTGTGTGTGTGTGTGTACGTCTATATGTGTGTGTGTTTATTACAGATAGTTTTCTTTACAAACTTAATTCAGATAAACCAATGTGATAATTCATCACCAGATGTCGTTGTTTTCTCTATACTTTTCGTTTCCCCCATCAGCCACAAGAATAAATCTTGATTTTTGTTCTCAAACAAACCAGTATTCGATGTATGCATGTCATCTGGTCATTATAATTTTGGGGATTTCCATTTCAAAGAGAATTCCTTTGGAGAAAAATGGTTATGCCTGACTACGACATTGGTTTTTGTGTAGTTGACAAACCTTACATTGAATTGATTCATTCCTCCAGCAAAAATTCTTTACCCTGGGGAAATCAGCATCATTTTCAAAAAGCGATTTCTATGGCAAAAAGACTTTGAATCTGAAAATGTGTTTGAAACCGAGGATTAAAGTCTTTTGCTTAAATCAAGACCAAGATTGTATAGCTGCAAATAAGGGGAAACAGTTTGAAAATATTTTCAAATAAATTTATTGCAGTGAATATTTGAATTTTTTAATCTATAGATTACGTGATCCAAAATCCCTGTCTTCATTCATTCACTCAAAGCTTAATGCAGAATGATATCACACTGAAGTTAAGCAATGTCGAGCCTGGTTAATACCTAAATGGGTGACCACTTAGGAATATCAGGTGCTGTAGGCTTGAATTTGCAGCTGGTATAATGGGCTTATGGTCATATCCCGCTGAAGAACCAGTTCTCATCCGATCAACAAAGTTAAGCAGCGTCAGGCCTAGTCTGTACCTTTATGGGTGACCGCTTGGTAATACCAGGTGTTGAAGCTTCGATGTGAGGGTGGTATAAAGGGCTTACAGTAACTGTTACGGTCTAGTTCCTTGTACCACGGGTGGTAGTCCAAGGTAGAACCAATAAAGAACTCGAACACAGGTATGGAATAACACAGATATATTACAAACAGGAATATATACAGAGAAGTAGAAAATGTTAGTACGAACAATCAGGTTTAGTAGAGAGAACAATGTAGTCTCGACCAGTATCACTATTCCAATGTCTTGCAGTAATTGTCTGAACGTGACTCTGTTTTCGGACTGCCTCTGACTCGACTCTTGACTCGACATGAACTCGACTGATTAGTCACCGCCCGCACGTGGGCATCATGTGGCACAAGGCCGGTTTAATGTGGAATCTCCCAGCCCGTGGGCTCGGCCAAAAATATGCCCATTGAACCCGTATAGACGGGCTCAGGGCCGGTTTACCTCCCAGCACGAGACTCCGTCCTTCGGCGTAGCCTCGTTCGGGTTCCTCCCCGCCCGAAGGCAGAGAGTTCAACCGATCAGTCAGGAGTTGAGCGACTGACGACATTCAGTCACCCCCCCCTCACAAGGGCGACATGTGGCACAAGGCCGGTTTAACGTGGGAATCGGAGCCCGTGGGCTCATAAAAAAATATGCCCATTGAACCCGTATAAACGGGTTCAGGGCCGGTTTACCTCCCCGAAAGCGTAGCGTTGCCTGTTCGAGTTCCTCCCCGCCCGAAGGCAGAGAGTTCAACCGAACAGCCGGTCAGGAGTTCGTCAGTTGACAATATTCAGTCACCCACCCCCCACGAGGGGTGTCATGTACACAAGGCCTTTTTAAAATAGGCATTCAGACCGAGCCCGTGGGCTCGGCCAAAAAATTTGCCCATTTGAACCCGTAAAAACGGGTTCAGGGCCGGTTTTACCTCCCGAAGGAGACTCCGCCCTTCGGCGTAGCCTCCTTCGGGTTCCAGGAAAAACCCGTAGACCTGAAGGAAACAGAACAGTCGGTTCAGAGTTGAGCGACTGACGATATTCAGTCACCCCCACTGAGGGTGTCATGTGGCACAAAGGTCTTTTAATGTGGGCATTCCCGAGCCCGTGGGCTCCAAATATACAAATGAAAACCCATTTGAACCCGTATAAACGGGTTGATTTTTCTTCTCCCGAAGGAGACTCCGCCCTTCGGAAAAGCCAACCTTTTTTTTCCTCCCGCCCGTAAGAGAGTTTAACCGTGCAGTCGGTTCAGAGTTGAACGACTGACGATATAAAGTCACCCCCCAACGAGGGTGTCATGTGGCACAAGGTCTTTTTCTGGTTCATGGAATGTTAGCCATCAGGCTCGGCCAAAAAATGATTTGAACCCGTATAAACGGGTTCAGGGCGGTTTTACCTTTTTGAAGGAGACTCCGCCCTTCGGCGTTATTTTCAGGTATTTACAAATGTTTAAAAAGAGAGTTAAACCATTAAAACAGTCGGTTTAGAGTTGAACGACTGACAATATTCAGTCACCCCCACGAGGGTGTCATGTATAAAGTTTTTAATTTGGGCATTCCTGAAGGCTCATTTTAAAAATCCGATTTGAATTATTAACGGGTTTATTGCGTATTACCTCCCGAAGGAGTCTCCAAATTCGGCTAGCCTCCTTCGGGTTCCTCTCCAAATCCTAGGAACAAGTTTTAACCGTCAGCATCGGTTAAAGAGTTGGTTTAAAAAACAATATTCAATCTCAGAATCGAAAAGGGCATCATGTGACAAAGGTCCTTTTTAATTAAGAATATTTTCGAATAATTATCATTCGTTTCGAAAAAAAATTTAATTTAAAAATGAGTAATTCAATTTGGTTTTAATCCCGTTAAACTAAACTCCGTTTAATCGGCGTATTACTCACGGGTTTATACTGATTAAATTCAGGTTCGAAAAACGAACAGTCAAATTCTTCATTTTTTGACTGATTATATTCATTCACAAAAGACAACGAAAGGGTTTATAGAAAACAAGGCCTTTTTTGTATGTAACATAATCAGATAGACAGAAAATTTCAGATTTTATTTTTAAATATTTTTAATTTTACCTCCATTGAATGTTTCACTTTTCGGCGTAATTTTTCAGAGGTTGTTTTCATAATATTTAAAGATTTTAACATGGAAATTATTTAAAAAGTATCACTATATATATGAGTATTTGGTTAGATAAATATTTTTAATATTAATCATTTCAGTTTTCATTCCTTTTCCATTTCAATTATCGTAAAAACGTTTACAAAATCAAAACAACAAAAATTCAAAGAATGGAATCCTTATGTCAAAACCTGAATTGGAATACCAGGTATTTAGGTGAAATCAAAAGTTTGAATTGAAGTGAACAATTGTTCGAAGGAAAATTTGGATCGCATTCCAAAAAAAGCAGATTATATAAAATAACAGTGAATAAATAAACTTATTCAAATTCTGAGATATATGAAGAATTGTTTCAAATAAATCCGAACAACGTCTACTCATTTCCAAGATTTTGACCGGATAATTTTTGTTTATAAGAAAGTCGGTTCATTGTTTTGGAATGACTGATATATTTTTCTTCAGATTCTACAAGGGTGTCCATGGAAAAGCCTTTGTAATTAGAATAAAAGCCATTCGGTTAAATATGTCAAAGACAAAATGAAGGCTTTTTTAAAATTTGAAACATAATATTTTAAATCTGTCATATTAAACTAAAATGTTGTCGATTTTCCCAGTATTAGAATTGGTTAATATTTGTAACATTTGTTTCATTTGTTTTTTTTAATGAATTCTGAAAGATTGGGTTTTGTGGTAAAAGTATTATTGACCCGTTTTTGTTAAAAATAATTTTATACAAAAATTCTGACATTTAATTCATTTGGATTTTATTGGAATTCGGGTTGATTCAGTAGTAGTTACGAAATTCTATTGTATTATTCATTCTTCATGGTTTTTGCTTTATTCCTGTCACAGTATTTCAAAGTTTTCAAATTGAAATTATTATGGGTAAGATGGTATTTTTTTTTTTTTATGAATTTTTAATCAGTTCAAGCAAGATTTCATACCATTACTGAAGGGTGTCCTACCAGAAGGTTCTTGTGCTTATTCCAAAATGGCAGTTTAATAGCGAGATGGAATATTCTTGTTCCAGATTAAGAAACATTTTTCAAGCACAGGTTCATCCTGAAAAATGATTCTGTAAACATTTGATATAGGAGGTGAATTTATGAACATTATTAAATTGTTTGTTAAAATGTACCATCACCATATAAAAAAGAAATGGTCAGTAAATGATGGGTCTATTTTTACTTCGCTGATGATTTTTGGAAATTTCCGCATCACTTCAAAACCCAAAATAAAGATGAATTGATAAAGAAAAGTTTTGAATGAAAACATATTAAAATGCATTTCTGAAAAATCTAAATATTTTGAACAGAAATTTATTTTTTATAAAAAATGTTGTGATTTTTTATTTTATATAAAATGCATGGCTAATTTCCTATAAATATATGTTGTTGTTAGAATTCTCAATTTTATATAACAATACACCTTCTGATCTTATGATGATCTTGGCATCAAAATATTGAGATATGTAAAAAAAAATGCGATTCTACATTCAATTCTGGTTAATCTTTCAATAGACGCAATATATATTTATCGTTCTTAGAAAAAAAAAAAAATGATTTAAGGTTACAATGTTATATTGGCAAACATAAACCTGTTACACAAAAAAAGGGTGTTTCATAGCTGGGACCATAACATATGCTATGAGTCAGGACAGGGTGGACCTGGAAAAAACAGCAAATTATGAGGTGGTTCAAAAATTCTCAAAAACCACCCGATCAGGCCTTCTGCTGAATCAAAAGATTTTGGTAATTTTGCATCAATATAATAAAATTCTACCATTATTATAAATAATTTGCTCTGCTTTCAGTTCATGCATAAATCTCAAATGTCAGATCATATTTTATTTATTTCATTAATCAAACTGACAATAGATACAGATTAATTTTTTTTCTTAAAAAATGAAAAAGGTAATTATAAAAATGAATGATATTTACACAATTTATAACAGATGAATATCAGGAACTTCACCAATGTATTAGAGATTATTGATAAAATTTGATATCTGCAATTTTTATCATTCTTGACCTGGCATCTCAGCTTCATGTTCAATTTTCTACTAAGTTGATGTATCTTTTCATGTGCCTTTTACAAAAACATTTACAAAACATTTCAATGCAATAACAATTGTTTTTTCTGTCTTGTTAATTCTAAGTTCTTTTATTGTCCTTTTCTCTGGTTAATAGTGTTTTTTTTTCTCATATTCTCAATTTCTTCTTCAAAGAAATTTAAATGCAAATGTAAATCGTTATCTTCTGTCTTCTTAATTCTTGTTCTTTTATTGTCCTCTCTCCTTAATTTTGTTTTCTTTTTCTCATATTCTCAATTTGATCTTCAAAAATTTAAATGCAATTGTCAATCGTTATCTTTGTCTTCTTAATTCTTTCTTCTTTTATTGTCCTCTCTTTTTATGTTTTCTTTTTAATTTTCTCAATTTGGCGTTAAAAATTTTCTCGTGGAGAAATCGTTATCTTCTGTCGAAAATTTTGTTTTTTATTGTCTGAAATTTTGTTTTCATTTTTCTCATATTCTCAATTTGATCTTGTTTTTTTAAATGAAATCAATCTTTTTATAAATGGTTTCTTTAATTCTTGTTCTTAAAAAGAAATTTTTCCTTTACTGTTTTCTTTTCTCATATTCTCAATTTGATCTTCTAAATTTAAATTTTTGACAATCGTTATCTTTGTCTTTTCAATTTTTCCTTTTACTGAACTTTTCTAAATAGTTTTTATTTTTAGTCATATAAATTAAAGGTCCATGAACAAATTTTAAACTGTTATGAAAACTTTATCGTAAAATCGGACCAATGCCAAGCAAATACAGAAATTTTGTTAAATTTCCGTTTTCTTTTCCTGTAAATTCCAAAAAAAACGCGTTTGTTTCTAAAATCATGTTAATTTA